CAGTTCTCTATTTTAAAGTTTTTAGATCAATTCACCTAAAAAACGAAATTAGTTATATATATATATATATCGTAATATATAAAATATTTTTTATATATATTAAGAAGAATTGATAGTAAGGTTAATTAATAATATACTTAAAATATATTAAGATATTATACATACATATACAAATTATAATCATAGTAATTTAATATTAATTATATATATTTATTTATAAATCTATATTAATTTAAAATTATAAGTTATATATTTTAAATGATATAATTTATATATTAATATTATAATATATGATAGTAAATATCCTACATATTAATGTGTTATAATTATTATACTTTAATAATGTTTCATAATATAAAATTTTATGAATATATATAATTGTATAAATATTTTATATATACATATATTTAACTTATACATAAACATTACTATAATTTATAATAAACTTTGTTTATATAATTACACTTAAAAACTTTATTAGTTATCACTTTAGATTTTATAATATATTATTTATACTTAATTATTATTTATATAAACTTTGATATAAAATATTATAACATATAAGTTATGTCATTAATTTCATATATATAAAAAAAAAAGTCATATATTATATATATTTAATTTATACATAAGCATTATTATAACTTGTAATAGACTTTATTATATGATTACATTTAATAACTTTATTAGTTATCACCTTAAATTTTATAATATATTATTTATAATTAGTTACTATTTATACAAACTTTGATATAAAACATTTTAGCATATAATTTGTATTATTAATTATATATATAATAAAATAATAAATTATATATGCATATATTTAATTTATACATAAGTATTATGACAACTTATAATAAACTTTATTTATATGATTACACTTAATAAATTTATTAGCTATCTCTTTAGATTTTATAACATATTGTTTATAATTAGTTATTTTTTATACAAACTTTGATATAAAACATTATAACATATAAATTATATCATTAGTTTCTTATATATATATATAATTATGAATAGAATTTATAAATTTTAATATTATAATTTGTAAAAAAAATAATGATAAAATTTTAATCCATTTACCTAAAACCGAACCAACTAAATCAAGTCTATATTTAATCGATTTGATTTTTTTATATTTGATCGATATTTTTAAAAATAATTAAACTATTTAGTTTTTAAATATGGTAGATCAAACTATTCGGTTCACCCAATTATTCACTCTTAACTAAAGCTGTCATTGCAGCAAATGAGATAACGGACGTAGCCTAAGGGTGAAAACAAGATAGAATTGTCTCTTTTATTTTTCTGGGAATTGAATTTGGGTTAGTCTGAGAATGCCGCTTTGGTTAAGATGAAACCTACATGAAGGCCGCAACCTGATAAAGTGATAAATCTGAAAAGATCAACAGTGGTCCATATCGCCAAAACAAAGGCAAGCTTCCTCCGCCACACAAAACGAGAGTGATTCACCCGACAAGACTTTATAACTTCAGCCACGCGAAGGTTTTAAATATACAAATTCCAATCAAAGCGATTAATGGGAAATAAGACCACTTTGGACCCAAATAATTGGTTCTAAAGTCACGATCTAAGTACTGTGACAAGTCGATATGTGCAATGCCTACCACAAAATTAGAATCAATGAGCATAAACCAAGTGGACGATTGATTTATTCCAGCCACATCCTAGGTTGGGTCCCTTGTTATTAGTAGTATTGTTATTAGTAAGCTCCATTTACTCCTTTTTACTATACACTTCCTATGTAGGATGGTTATAAGATATAACTCGAAATTCATGCATTTCCTCTAAGAAACAAAGTACTAGTTAATTATGAGAATCAATTAAATTTAAATATGAAAAAAATGTATCACATCACAGTTTAAAATTAAAAAAAAAATCAAAACTATACACGATAAGTCTTTTCTAAATATCAAGGTTGATGGCATACCCTAACTATGATATTTCAATACCATTGCAATCACCTTTGGACTTTTCGCAGCACTTTTTTTCTTTATCTATTTTCCTATCTGAACATTATTTTTCTATCAAATGTACAATCCTCCACCTTTTTTAAAGGCAGCTAACTTGGAATCTAGCAATAATGGTGATGATAATCACTTAAGAAGGCAGTGTAGCAATATTAAATGTGGTGAGATTTGGATTGCTAGAATTGACTGAGATTAGTCGATTTCTGTTTTATGAATGGTGGTTTAAGCTTGCAACTTGACAAATCTAGATGAGTATTATCCGCTCAATTTAAAGGAAGAGACAATGTCATGTCATCTAATTTAGAATAAAATGCAGAATTAATGGATTTGACCCTTGTTTCTACTACAATTAAGAGATAACAAAATGGGGTTTACTGTGAAATCGGAATTATTAAACAGGGAACATGGGGGGGAAATAACATGAGAAAAGAGAAAACGAAGGAATGGGGTGAGTTGGGCTTCAAGGGTGCCGGAGGAAACCCAAACTGAAGTATCTCGCTTAGACTGGCCTCCAAGATAAGAAGGGCATTTAATTTACTTGGGTAGCATATCCGAATCAATTGTTCTGTTCATTTCTGCCTCACAATCGTGGACTAGAAATGAGTGTTCTTTTCAGCATACTTTAAACTAATTCTTACGTGATTATTTCAAGAAGGAAAACAAAATGTTTGTAACCATATATATAATCCAATTCTTATACTACAAGTAGGAGAATAACTAAATATAGTGCATAACTGAGTTTTAAATGTTAGCGATGAAGCTTTTGATTCAATGTCATCTATTATGTCTAAAGGATATATAAATGTAAGAAGAGACACACTAAGCAAAGTAGCAAATTAAGGAAAGGTTCATTTACCAACAGCCATCGATTTATTTGCAAAAGCGAAACAAAAAAACAGAGGTCCTTAAGTGTTGCTAGTGAATCCAATTGTACTATTTCTGTATTTCGTTTGGGCTATTCGCAACTGTTAACTCGAAACAAAGTAAAAGGCCCATTTTACTGCACAGCGCCGGACAAGCTCCAAACTTGCCAGACAAGCCTCCACCTCCATAATCTTTTGGCGCTCCTTTTAACTCTTTTCAAACTTATTCCTTTCCCTCCACCATCCCTTTCCTTTCCTTTCCTTTCCTTTCCTGTCCCTGTTAAACCCTCACTTTCTCCAGGGCTTTGGTCTATAGCAGATCCTTGGGCGGTATAGTCAGCAACACATGGAGCAGCAGAGAAATCAGAAGATGGTTCAACAACAACAACAACAAAAACAGCAAGAGGAGCTTGAGGAGATGCAACATGGGCCGTTCCCTGTGGAGCAGCTTCAGGTGACAAATCATCTTCAAGACTTTGTTTCTTTGCTCAATTTTTATTAGATATTAAGACGCTTTTCTATATGGGTCTTTTTCTTTTCTCTCCAGTTTGCCGAAAAGATGCTCCTTTTCTTGATTGGTCCAAAATTTCAGCGGAAATCAATGTAAATTATTTTTCAAGATTCTGAAATCGGAAATGGGTTTTCTCAATTTCACTGCTTTTGTCTTTTCAGCATGGGTCTCTTTTAAATTTCGTTTTTTGAACCTATTTTAGAACATATTAGAAATGTATCCAAATGGGTTATTTTCTCTCGCTCGCCTTATAAAGTGGGGTGATTTTCGGTTAGGGTTTCTTGACGAGTTTGTCATGTAATTGTTTTAAACAAGCGCTGTTTTGCATTACTGTAAACGGTAGATCAAGATTCCATTAACTGAAATGTACATTCAATTTAGTTTTCTTTTACCTAAATTATGCTTTAACCTCCAGAATTACTTTAACTGCCTTTTCTAATGATCTAAATCTTGAAAATGAAAGTAGCAGCTCATGTTTAACCTCTTGTTGTTTCATGTCTTTCGTAAGTCCTCTCACATGTTGTGGCTTAAGTAGCAGACTAACAGTTATGGATCTCTCTTTCTCCTTTTTCATATCTTCAATTGAAGTCATCGGGCATTGCGTCCCTGGATGTAAAGAAGCTTAAGGATGCAGGTCTCTGCACGGTTGAATCTGTTGCTTACACCCCAAGAAAAGACCTTCTACAGATCAAAGGAATCAGTGAAGCTAAAGTTGACAAGATCATGGAAGCAGGTTTGCTGTTTCCACACTTTATGTACCATTCAATTTTTGTTAATGACATTTACTATAATTTGTGAAATGATTTGTGATTAAGATGTTTTGTCTTCCTTGGTTCTTGGCAGCTTCCAAACTAGTCCCATTGGGTTTCACCAGTGCTAGCCAGCTTCATGCCCAGAGGCTGGAGATAATTCAGATAACATCAGGGTCAAGTGAACTTGATAAAATTTTGGAAGGTAAATATGTTCTGATGTGTTGAATTTTTGTTTAATTCTAAACACTTCTTGAAATTTGACTAGTGGTTCAACTGGTTAAGAAATGAAAACTAAGGCTTCTAATAGTTAATCAATTTTCTGCATCATTACATGCTCATTTGTTTTTCTCTATGATAGGTGGAATTGAGACAGGATCCATTACTGAGATATATGGTGAGTTCCGCTCCGGAAAGACTCAGCTCTGTCACACATTGTGTGTCACATGCCAAGTAAGAGCTTTTCCTTGTCCTAGCAACTAGAGCAGTATTCTGTGTTTTAAGTTGCTTAGATTACTGCCGTAGATGATTGTAATGACATTAGATTGACCAAATGGAACAAGAATTCAGATTTTTTGAATGAGTAAAATGAATATTATACCATGCCCAACAAGATGTGTATTATACTGGGTTTGAATTTCTTGTATCCCATGTATATTGCACATACTAAGTGCCTAACACCAGCTCATTGCATGTCAGGTCCCCCAATAGTTTGTAATTGCAATAATCTGTTCGTTACCCAGTTAGTCAATGTTGTAAAGCATGCTTCTAATGTACTTTGATATTGTAGCTTCCATTAGATCAAGGAGGTGGTGAGGGAAAAGCAATGTACATAGATGCGGAAGGGACATTCAGACCACAAAGACTTTTACAGATAGCGGAGAGGTGATACATGGCTACCTTGATATGAGAATGCTGCTCTGCATATGCAGTATTGATATCTAACAGTGTTGAATGCTGTAGGTTTGGACTGAACGGTGCTGATGTCTTGGAGAATGTGGCATATGCTAGAGCATACAACACTGACCATCAGTCGAGGCTATTGCTTGAAGCAGCTTCAATGATGGTGGAAACAAGGTATTGTCAAAATGTTTCCTTTGCTTAACATTGTGGATGTGAACCTCCATCAAGAATAATTACCTCCTATATAGGTAGGGTTAACAAGCTGCAGGCCAGACTGATCATTTGATGGATTTCTTTGCAGGTTTGCGCTTATGATAGTAGATAGCGCTACTGCCCTCTACAGAACAGATTTTAATGGGAGGGGTGAACTCTCTGCCCGACAAATGCATCTTGCAAAATTCCTGAGGAGCCTTCAGAAGTTGGCAGACGAGGTAAGGCTTTTACATATTTATTTGTAGTACTATGATTTATGACAAGCTTTCATGCTATGATTACTATCATGTATTTGAAAATTTTTGGTATGAGATGCTCAGAATTCTACTAGATATGGAATTGAGCCCTTTACATCACTTGTATTTATCATCATTTTCCTTGCATTCTCTTTGATTGTAGTTTGGTGTGGCTGTTGTAATTACAAACCAAGTAGTAGCCCAAGTGGATGGTTCAGCCATCTTTGCTGGACCTCAGATTAAGCCTATTGGTGGTAATATCATGGCTCATGCCTCCACAACAAGGTTTGTGATAGAAGGCCTAATTTTTCCCCTTTCCTAACTACTTTGCTTTGCAAGCTACTAACTATAAGATCTTGCTGACATAGGTTGGCTCTCCGGAAGGGAAGGGGTGAGGAGCGCATTTGCAAAGTAATAAGTTCGCCTTGCTTGGCTGAGGCTGAAGCCCGATTTCAGATTTCTCCGGGAGGTGTTGCTGATGTCAAGGACTGACTCATTTCAGCTCATTGTTTCCAACCAAAAGTTGAGCCAGCTCCTTTTATCGATCACTCTGTCTTTGTATGTGACTGCTTCTGCTAGTGAGCAACCCTACAACTTTGTAATTTTTGTCTGCAATGAAGCTGGCCAAAAGTTTTTGAAGAAGCGATTACAAAATCTTGCTGTCCATTTCATTGTATATAACCTTTGCAAGGACTGAATTTCTTGTAATGGAGATTCCAAATATTTTATTTATATTTGAGCTCCTCTAAACAAGTGGTCTTAAAAACTGGAAAAAGGAAGAAAAAAATTCAGTTGTTACAAATGTTTGTCCTTTATAGAAATGATGGAAGTTAAATTGATTATCCACCTTCAAAAACTTTAAAAATTTTCACATTCAATTTGTTGATACTAACAAAATTTATAGGTCTAATTCGAGTTTTTATTTTTATTTTATTTTTAATAGTAATAGTAAATTTTTATTTTTCACAAATCATTTTAAGAATAAAGGGATCAGTTAAGCCTATGGAGCAGGACATACGCTAAGCCCTAGAAAAATACAGGCAAAAAACAAAATGTCACCGTCCGTGATTAAATGGCTAAACGACGTCGTTGCACTTAAATGGATTGGGGAAAAAAATTGAAATTGGGTCTTGAAGGGCATCAGCTGCACCGCACCACACCACACCTGCTTTAAAATGGCGTTAAAGTCGACTGGCGTCGTCTAACGAGCACAAAGCTTAGGTTCGTTCGGTCCATCAGAACCAGACCAAAAGAAAAAGAATGGCAACAAATCCAGCAGCAACACCTTCAAACCTTCCCAAATCTGGAGCCATCTCCAAAGGCTACAACTTTGCTTCTACATGGGAGCAGGTTACTTTCTTCTTCTTAACTCACTCTTCGAACATGAAAATGTTTGCCTTCGACTTCACGATTTGAATCTCTTCCTGTTTAGATCTGCCATTATTTATGTCAATGAACTTAAAATGTTCAACTTACAACTATTTAATTCGGCTAATTTGTTATTATTGATTTTGATTTTACTCTATCATTTCATCCTTAAATTTTGTAATCAATAGATCTGATCTCTTCACCGGAGCCGTAATTGTAACCGAAATGTGACAATTTTATTTAGAATAATTTTAAGAGTTGAAAACCTTTTAATTGAAGATCGGATCTGTGGAGTGGAAGCGCTGATTTGGATGTTTGTGTTTAAATATTATTCTTTTTTGGCTTTGTTGCGTAGAATGCACCTTTGACGGAGCAGCAGCAAGGAGCAATAGTGATGCTATCTCATGCAGTTGCTGAACGCCCGTTTCCGGCCAATTTGGTGAGAAATTCTGTTGCTTTTTGGTAACTTTTTTTTTATAGCATTCTGAATTTTGTAGTGAAAGATGTTTGGATCATGCTGTTGTAGGCTCAGGAGCGCACCTCAGGGCAAGACAATGGCTTGTCTGTATCTACAAAGGATAACAATTTCGGAAATTCTGAAGCTATTGAAGCAATTTTGGTTAATACAAATCAGGTAATTGTATTTCTTGTGGATGGTTACATTGTTTTGTTCTTTTAATGATCTAATTCTTCTAGGGTTTTATGAAACCAATGAAATTTTGGATCTAAAATGTTTGCTTCTTTTTTCCCTCTCTTATTGCTACAGTTTTATAAATGGTTCACAGATCTTGAATCAGCCATGAGGTCAGAGGTTAGTAGCAATTTCTTGTGGCAATGTATATGATCTTGCAGTATTGTCTGTTGGATGCTTCTTTATACATCTTATCTGTTGTCTTCCTTCAGACAGAGGAGAAATATCAGCACTATGTCAATACTTTAACAGACCGCATACAGACTTGTGATGATATACTTCGGCAAGTATGGTCATGTTATATTTTATTACTAGAGTTTTTTTCATTTGTTGTGCTAGTTGTTTTAATGTTATATCAATTTTTTCCTCATGATTTTTAAGCAAGCAAGTACACATCTGTGCAGGTGGATGAGACCTTAGACCTATTTAATGAACTACAACTGCAACACCAAGCAGTAGCAACAAAAACTAAAACTCTTCATGATGCATGTGATCGATTGGTATGATTTTTGTTTGTATGGCTTGTAATTTAGGTTCATCTCCTTGTTTCTAGCTTATTGACTTCAGGCTTGAGGTTAACAGCTGTAATCTGCTTCCTTTTGGGATGGAAAATTTTGGTTTTAGTTGATTGATTGCCTCACTACTTGTGCCCATTTCAGGTAATAGAGAAGCAAAGGCTAATTGAGTTTGCTGAAGCACTTCGCTGTAAGCTCAAATATTTTGATGAGTTGGAGAATGTAAGGTTTGAATGCTATCTTAACTAGAGATCAGTTTTCTTTATGTATTACTTGTCTTTGTTTAGCCTATTATCCTCTAGGGTTTATGTTAATATAAAGTGTCTTGGCAGATTGCTGTTAGTATTATGGTTCTAAAATTCATGGTTTGTCTAATTTTACCTCGTGTACAGATTACTTCCAACTTTTATTCTCCAAGCATGAATGTTGGAAATGCAAACTTTCTCCCACTTCTTAAAAAGCTTGATGAGTGCATATCGTAAGTTTGCATTTTAACTTAGTCCAACTATGCAAATTAGTAACAATTGTATAAATATTTGTCTTTCTGATGAGCACATGTCATTGAAATTTCTTATCATATTGTTATTATTATTATTTTTTCTCCTTATAGGTATGTTGAAAACAATCCACAATATGCAGAATCAAGTGTTTATTTGCTAAAATTCCGTCAACTTCAGGTAAAGAAGTTATAGTAACAATCTATGGACTGTCTTGTTAAGTGAATGAAAAGTAGCGATATACAGGCTTATAAATAAGACATTTTGACTAAAAGTTTTGGAAATCTGTTTTTACAGTCTCGGGCGCTGGGTATGATCCGCTCTCATGTACTTTCTGTTCTCAAAAGTGCTTCTTCTCAGGTAAAATATCCTAATAGATGAAAGTTATGTACATAGGTTTGCATTTATGAATGGATTATAATACCTGACAAAATTCTTAATCTTTGCCTCATTAGGTCCAGGCAGCAATTCGGAGCAGTGGTGGCAACAAAGCATCTCTCTCCGAGGGTGTAGAGGCATCTGTAATCTATGTCCGTTTCAAAGCAGCTGCTAGTGAGGTAATTATTTTCTTTTGTGTTCTGAAAGCTATCACATGCATAGAAGTTTGACTATTTGCCCATTATAATAGTGAATAGAATATTTCTTGTATACGAAACGGGACTGTATACTACAATTAGATTCCCCTTCAGCATAGGTACTAACAGTTTTAAGCATTTGCAGCTCAAGCCAGTATTAGAGGAAATCGAAAGCAGAGCATCAAGGAAAGAATACATTCATGTTCTTGCAGAATGCCATAAATTGTACTGTGAACAGAGGCTTTCTTTGGTGAGTGGATGATGTAATTGCACACACCCGCACATGCCATCTATTTCAGTATTCAAATCAGTTATTAATGTATCTGTTAATATATGCTTTTTTTAGATAAAAGGCATAGTGCATCAGCGAATATCTGACTTTGCCAAGAAAGAGGGTTTGCCGTCATTGACTAGATCAGGATGTGCTTATCTAATGCAGGTATAGTAAATTTACTGTCCTCATGTTTAGTTACTGAATATTGTTATGATTCTTGGAACTTCTGATCATGTGAAACATGCAAAAACTTGCTTTGTTATTTGAGTCGTGAACTCTTTGCATTGTTGATATTGCTTGGTGAACTTAGAGACAATGCAATTCAGCCCATCTGTTGAAGCGTCACATACACTAGTGTTTGTAAATTGCTGAAATATATACTGTTCTTTATTAACTGGGGACCTGCACATTGCCATTACTGCAGGTCTGTCAACTTGAGCATCAACTCTTTGATCATTTTTTCCCATCTTCCTCAGAGGATGTTTCGAGTTTGGCACCATTGATAGATCCTTTGTAAGTACTCTTATAGGCCAATACTGTAGAGCTTTCTTTTCTCTGATCCTATTTTCATTTTGTTTCCATACTAAGTGGCCTAATGATGCTTTATGGAAATTAATCAAAATAATATCCTGGAGTTTGACTTGAGCATAAATCTTCTGCGTGTGTTACTAAGATGGATCTCCATTGTAGGTCTACATACTTGTATGACACATTGCGCCCAAAACTTATTCACGAAACAAATGTTGATTTTCTTTGTGAACTGGTTGACATCCTCAAAGTTGAAGTCTTGGGAGAACAGCTCAGTAGACGGAGCGAGTCATTGGCTGGGTTGCGCCCTACATTAGAAAGAATTTTGGCAGATGTTCATGAGCGATTGACTTTTCGTGCTCGAACGCATATCCGTGATGAGGTGTGTTTATTGCTTATCCGTGCATGCATGTATATGCTTGTTTGTGTACATCTCATGAATCAATGGGAAGCTATCAAACCTGTATCTTATTGTGGCATATGAGTTTTTTCACTCCTTTATGTATGTGGTATGATGGAATGAGTCTTGGTTGCCATGAGGATGTTGGCTCATGTTAATTTACTGGAATCAAGTGCTTGCCAAGAAAATCAAGAGTTTGTGGCTTCCTTCTGTGGTTTTGGAAAGAACAAATTGTTTTAGTTGCCCATCGTTTGAGATTGAAAGAGAAATTTGCATGCAATTGCATTTGATGTTGTGGGAGCAATTGTGTTGTGCTTTCATTATAATTGTGCATGGCTGGGTTAATGCTACACATCAGGACATTGAACCTGCCATTTTCCCATTTATGTTGATTTTACTTGAATTATTGTCTGCTTTCTTACACAGATTGCAAATTATATCCCATCTGAGGAAGACTTAAATTACCCTGCAAAACTGGAGCAATCCGCAGATGTGAAGTTAGAAACTGCTTCGGTAAGTTCTCTAACACTTCTCTCTCATGCAGCTTATAGATAATTGATCATGTGGTGTGCATTTTTATCAGTTGGACAATTTCAAATTGGGAAGCTATTTTTTTTCTGCAAGTCAAGAGTTATTTTTTCTAATTTAGACCCTTATATGGGGGGCCCTTTGTAACCATTATTATAGACCTAACTTGATCTTAGGATTTTTGTTAATTTATTATCCACCTTTTCTACTTGGATTTAATATTGCATTATATGTTTGTGTGTGTTTAGGCTTAGGTGTTGAATTACTTGACATCCTAACAATAGTACATGAAGTTGCCACTCAATTGTTTAAATTCCTTGAATGAGATGAACCATGTGCAAGATGACATGTCTAGCATGAGTAGATTTCCTACGTAAGGGGGAAAAAATCTGTATATGGGGTGTTTCATGCTGAGCAAGAATGGATTTGTTTTCCTCTTCTGTTAGATGTCATTTGTTTGAATGTGGTTTGCCACAGTTGGTTAGCAAACATGCATATCCAAAACCTACTTGCAGACTTGTTCCTGTAAGCATTTAGTGAATTATACAGTCTCAATAACTGCAGCTTTTACATATCTGGATATAGAAATTGTTCAGAGTAGTATTGCAGTACACGTGTCTGCTTGAATTTTACTTTCTATTTTCCCTTTTTGGAAATATAGTTACACCATAATTAACATTACTATCCACTTTTTTATTTTTTGCAGCCTGATGCAAAGCCAGATGTATTCAAAACTTGGTATCCACCATTGGAGAAAACCATATCTATTCTTTCAAAATTGTATCGTTGTTTGGAACCAGCAGTCTTCACTGGCTTGGCACAGGTGCTTTGAGTCTTCAGATAATCACCATTGTTCAGTTTCTTGTCTCCTGAATTTCTATATTGCCCTTCTTTGTTTATTATGTTAAAGAATTTATTTGGCTTTGTTTTTCTCAGGAAGCTGTGGAAGTTTGTTCTGTCTCAATCCAAGTAAGTTACCTCACAACAGTTAATGCAACTTTTCAAGGCCTTGAGTTCTTTGCTTCCGTAGCATGTTCATGCTGTATAATGATACCATTTCTATCTGTAGATAAGCTAGATCTAGATTTTTAACAAAATCAGAATATACATTCTATGAAGTTGACAAGCTTATTTTCTCTCTTTTTTTATCTGTTCCTAGCATGTTCTTATACATGCCTTGGGATTGGTTGGATTTCTAACCAGTTTCATTTTCCCTCTTTAATCTTTCAATTGTACATAGAAAGCAAGCAAACTTATTGTAAAGAGATCAACACCAATGGATGGGCAGCTTTTCCTTATTAAGCATCTTCTGATATTAAGGGAACAGGTTATTTTCTTAATCCTCTCTTTTGCTTTCTTTTTCTGGTCATTCAATTGATAATATGATATAACTTCTAACACTTGAGTTTTGGCCTTCCAGATAGCACCATTTGACATAGAGTTCTCTGTGACACACAAAGAACTTGATTTCTCTCATTTGTTGGTAAGTGTCTCTGAAGCTAAATTTCTTTTTAACTGAAATGAATTGCTTGGTGTTTACAATCTTTGCTAGCTCTTTAGCATCCTTAAGCAGAAGCTGTTTTTGAGTTTCAGCAAGATAGATAGTGGGACAGAGGAAGAACTATAATAATCTTGTTTTTAAGATTTGTTTGATGTTCAGGTTGTTTAAACTCTAGTTTTTCCCATCTCTATGTGGTAAGAAGGAAGGGAAAGAGGTGAGGGGAAAAAAAAAGAGGGGACAGAGAAATGCTTTTGCTTCCTTATGTTTGGCATGAAAGATGGAGAATAGAAGAAATGAAAAAGATTAGGGGTAAAATTATAAAGAAAATGATTAATTTAAGTAGGAGTGCTTCCAATTTGGAAGGAAGGAAAATGTGCAAATTCATTCATTTTCCTTCCCCCTCTTATTTCCCTCCAACCAAATGACAGAAGGCAGAGAAAGAAACATTATTTTCCTTCCACTCTCTTTTCTTCCTTCCTCTTTCAGTCCTACCAAACATAGAGAAAGTTCATTCATAGTATATATTTTCTTTTAAATGTCTTTGACAGGAGCACCTAAGACGGATACTTAGAGGTCAAGCCTCGTTATTTGACTGGTCCAGATCAACATCATTGGCAAGGACCCTATCTCCCCGTGTTTTGGAAAGTCAAGTAGATGCCAAGAAGGTTGGCATTTTACCCTTTGATAAATTTATTTTCTTTTCTCAATAAGTTGCTTTGGCATGTGCCAATGCAAAGTTATCCTGCAAATGATAATTATACTACCTATCCTCAATTGATTATTGGCAAATGACCTATGTTCTTGTGAAGTTGTCAAACGATTATTACGAAATAACCTATGTTAATAAATGATTATTACTAGCTCTTCAAAAAAAAAAAAAAGTAAATGATTATTACTATACTACAACTGATTATCCGTAAATGACCTATGTTCTTGTGAAGTTTTCAAATGATTGTTAGCGAATAACCTATGTTAGTAATGATTATTACTGTGCTACAATTGATTATTAGCAAATGATCTATGTTCTTGTGAAGTTGTCCTGCAATAATTACTACCTCAATTGCCTCTTTCCCTTCCCTTTTCCTTTCCCCCCCCCCCCTCCCCCTTCCCCTTTTGTGAAAGCTCCTTGTTGCCTTGGGCATTGTTTTTGTAATAATTCTCCATGAATTAATGCTAGTCAGCATCCAGCAACTGATTCTTCCGAAAATCTGATTTTGCTATCTGAAAAATCTCAAGGTTTAATGCTGGAAATCTGCTTTATCATCAATAGTATAACTATGCATCATGTTCATTACTTGCAGGAACTGGAGAAAGCTTAAAAGCAACGTGGAGGAGTGTTATTATGTGCATCACTAAGCTAGTTGTGGATCCCATGCTTTCATTTGTTACAAGGTCCATCGTTTCTCTCCTTAACTGGTCTTCTTACAGCTTAGGATATTTTGAATAAGGAAGAGTAGTATTGCTTTCTAGTGAAATAAGACCAATCCCTCTATTGGAGCTTTTAAAAGTTAGCACAGTTGACATGGCAGAATTTCAGCTTGGATATAAGTATTTAGTTTAACTTGCTATGTGATATTTAACTGAATATCTGGTCTTCATCTTCTCAGACACAAAACATAATTTTAATGGTAATGGAATTTTTTCAGGTTTGACTAATTACTAATTGTCTAACTTGCTATGTCTGCAGGTGACAGCTGTAAAAGTTGCATTGTCTTCTGGTACTCAAAATCAAAAAATAGACTCGGTTATGGCCAAGCCACTCAAGGAGCAAGCCTTTGCTACACCAGAAAGGTGGCTGAACTTGTTCAGAAGGTGTTCCATTTGAACGTGTTTTCCAGACTATTTAGAGGTTTACAGTTGAATATGAGTTAGAAGGATGTCTATATTCGAAGGGCATCAAGATGCATATTCCAGGATTATCTTATTTGAATCTGCAAGTCTGGGTAACAAATCTGTTGATAATTTCAAAGTTTAGCTTCAGCACATTGATGTTTTACGTTTCTTTGACAGGTAAAATCTGCTATTCAGCAAGAACTTCCAGTGGTGATGGGGAAGATGAAACTTTATTTGCAGAACCCATCAACAAGAACAATTCTCTTCAAACCAATTAAGTAAGATACTGTCGCAAACTTAAAACTGTAATTTTATGTGTGTGTATCTATGGGACTATGAATGACCTAATCAAAGATTTTCTTGTTCTTTAATGCGTGGGTTAAGTTTTCAAATCTGTCAATTCCTAGAAGACAATCCTGATGCAAATTTAATGCTTATCTTACAACGAAATAAGGTGATCCTTATATTTTTGCAGGACAAATATTGTGGAAGCCCATGTCCAAGTTCAGTCCCTTCTAAAAGCAGAGTATTCTCCAGAGGAAAAAAGCACCATTAACATGGTGAGCATTCCTGAACTGGAAGCAGAGCTCGACAATCTCCTGTAGTGGGAGCTAGCGAAGCTCATTCAAATTTTTTTGCTCAACTCAAAATTCTTCAGTATTTTTGGCCATACATACCGCGGTTTTAGTTTGTTTATAAGGTTATATTGATAGATAAGTAGAAAAGTTATGTAAAAATTGTTTCTTGTTCAGAATATTCATTTGTTAAGTCCATATATTTTTTCTTTAACCCAAAAGCATAAAATTCAATTGTCACTACCTTGGAAACAATTGTTGATCGTATTTTGCAGTTCTAAGTTAATAGTTTCGTTTCGTCAGCCGACTGCATGTTTATCTTTTTTTTTTTTTTCAATTAGGAGAAGAGGGATTCGAATTTTATTTTTTAGATAAGAAGATCATACATCAATCAATGTGTTAAATACTCAGATGTCATTACATGTTTATCTGATGTTTTATAATTGGACCATGAACCGTTTCTATTCTTTATTTACCTTAAAACAAAGTTAATGGCCTCATGATTTATACCAATAAACAGAATGCATTGGATGAGGTTAATGAGATCCGTGGCCGTTTTCTTGATGGAAAATGCTATCATCATTAGCACTTTTTACTAGGAAGTTATATTCATCTCGTTACTGTCATTCCCGAAGATGTGACAAATGGATCCTGTAACAAATAATTTTGCTTTATGAATCCTGTGGCTAATTGTTTAAATTTGATATGAAATCATATTTCAAATATGCCTGGTTAAGATATAAATCATACTGGGTCGTAAAGCCGATAAGCAGCCCTGACAATCTCTTTTTCTTGGTCTACAGCTACACTGGGTGTTTTAACTTTGACAGATCTCGAGACCCTTGTCATCTTTTTGTTTTTTATTTGTTTGTTTGGGGTACATCGATGCTTCAGCTGAATGCCGTGAAGAGATTCATCAGTGGTGCGTTAGCCACTAGAATGAAACTAGCAGCCTAAAAGGAGATGAATAGACGTACACGCTGAAGTGATGAATTTGGGAATCAGGGAGATGCGCAAGACACGCTGTTAAAAGAGCTTCTCCCTGCTCATAACAAAAAATAATAACAGATGCATATATATGATAAATGATACAATGTGGCAGCCATTTAAAATTACAATTGGATGGAAGGAAAAAGATGAGGCAAAAATGAGAGAGAGAGAGAGAGAGAATCGCTATTTGAACTTACATCTTGACACATACAGGCAAAAAGGATTCACATTATCATTCAACAGAATTACCACCCTGTGTATTTTCTTCACAAAGTTCTGTCTGCGACCCACTGGGAACAATTGTTGGAGGAGACCATTGATCTGGCATCATGAGAAAATAAGCAGTCATAGCTTTTCTGAATCGCTTCTTGTATTGTTGGGGCGAGATCACAGTTGGAGATGCGTTTTTAGGCCCTCCAAGGATGCCTGAGATCTTCACCCAAGTTTCAAGGTGCTTGTCCCATGTGTATTGCCTCATGAAATCGATTATCCCAAGAACAAGCTCATGTTTTTCCTCATCCACACCAACCAGTAATGAATAGTCCATTACATCAATAAACTGTGGCCAAATATATACACATATTTATTCTTAGAAAATATAAGAGAGAAATGAGCATTCAACTACAACTACTCGATCAGTTAAACGTTAAGTAGCAAATGTGACCATCGGATCAATTCCATTAACTCATATGCATAGCTGAAATATGAAGAGCCCATCATTAATTCTATAGTAAACGCATTCTAGTGAGAAAAACCCAATCCTACACCGTGCCAGACAGCCCACACCCGACTACATTACCCACTATTATTTCCTTCAGCTCAGTACAATTATTACCAAAATATATGCTGCACCACCAGAAATCAGATGCCATTCGAAGCACTTATAATAAGAATTGAAAATAAAAAATTATAGGAAAATCTTCAAAATAGTATGTGCAACCCGTGATTTCAAATGAGAAAATTAAATTCCAACTTACAGCAAGAAAGGAAGTGTCATTCCAGACAGCCCTCTCCAACAATCGTTTTGCCTTGCTCCCAACAAATATTGGAGATGTTGGCATTGCTTCAATCAAATTCTGATCCAGGAGAACTTTGTTGCTGCCACTTGTATCAGGATTATACCTTGATCGAGAAGATCCTTTAAGGTCATAAAGCCTTGTAACATTACGCCTAAAGAGAAGATTTTCTATCACCAAAACGTCCATTTTTGATTCCTTCCCTCCTTTAAGGTACTTTGATGAAACCTTCAAGACAATGACACCAGAAGAAAAATTAAACTTCAAATCATGGTAAATTTATCACGAAATAAGAAAAGCCTAATTTCAAGGTTGGAACTTGGATTCAGTTAAAACTACAACATAATAAAGCAGGTAAAACTTGAAAATCTTCTCCAGCAAGGTGCGCTTAGGCTGCTCAATTTCTCAGGCTTTATAACATCAGAATGTCAAGTGTTTAGTGTTAACACACATTCTTCGACACAAATCTAAACCACAGTTGAAGCTCATATTTAAATCAGTAAGGAGACACAGACAAACACACATATCCCTGAGACATCACATTCTGAAAGGTACTTTTAGCAGAACCAAAGAGTGTTTCGAAAATGAATTCGAAGCATAGTTGACAACAGGAAAGCAATAGATAACCAATCCTTTGGGCTTCTAACACAATTTTTGCCTGGAATTAGTAGCCAAAACTTCACTCATGAAATTCAACTACTCTTCACACAGGTTAAAAACGAAGCTACATAGTTATTACACATAATAAATAATACCTGATATATGCCCAAGATCTTTGCCAGGCAAGTTGGGCTTCTTGTACTGATTGAATCAGATAAATACTTGAAATAAGCTGGTCCAAACTTGATGAATGATTCTAGTTCTGTCTTTGTAACTTGTTTGATGATAAATCGATCATCTAAAGTTTTTGCAAAGAAGACATTGCTCTTGCCACCTTGAGCACCCCACTTCTTACAACGACTGAGAGAACGTATAAAATCCAGCTCAGAAGGGCAGCAAGTCCTCCTCAATCTCTCAAACCGCTTTGCATAATAACAGGTTACGCTATGCTTCACCTTCCCCAGGGGGCCATCATCTGTAAAAGAAACTCTGGCATGGAAATTTTTTGTGTACAAGAGAGGGTCTGTAACCAGGGAGCTGTATGATCCAGATATAGACAAGATACTCTCATCACCAGATCCGAAACTTCTGAAAGTATCAGATGATGAGTCATTAAAAGAATTAAGTGAAAGCAGATTCACTGAATCAAAAAGTGATGATGAAACTGCAGAATCTGCAGCATCTTTTGGTTTCTCCAACTCAGACATCTGTGAATAATAATCCGATGAGACAAGTGCATATGCTATAATACTAGTGGGCTCATCATCATAAACAGGCACTACCGTGTCATTAACACCAATAGGAAGCAGCAGCCTGGCACCACTTTGCCTTTCCAACTCCCTAAATGATGAGATATAGACAGGATTATACTCACTGATACTGAGCTTTTGAGCATTGAATGAAGAATTCTTGTTAAATGAGCTGTAGAAATTTGGAAAAGGCATGCTTGCCCAGCTCATAGACTTCTCCATACTTTCAGGTCCCTTAGTAGGCAAAGCAGACTGAGGAGAACAAGCCACCTCCACTTCACCACGATCACTAGTACAATTTCCCATATCTGAATTTACTGCAGTTGACAGATCCACCACAACTGTATCAGAAACAGAGTAACCATTCTCCTTAGGAACTACACTAGCTGGGTGACTTTCGCCTGTCCATGCTGCCTCAAGGGTGTCAGATAAATTTGCCATAATTGGAAATTCACCTTCTGACAGTGCCCTTCGTACAACTTTTCCAGATTCCAGAGAATCAAATTCCTCACTGGTATTTGCACTAGAAGAAAGAGAAGATTCAGCCTCATTCCTGCTATTCAGGTCCTGGTCCATCCCCTTTTCTCTATGATCTCCACCTGGCTCGCTAATTTCACCTGTATTGCCTCCTTGATTTATGTTTATATCAGGCTTGGTCTCAACTAGGGCAGAGTCAGAACTACTAAGGGCTTTACTTGGCTTGGGACTGACGTTTATCTCAACAAGCTTCTCCACAGAGCTTACAGGCTTCAATCCAAGCTTTGGGATGGAACTGCTCATAACTTCCTGGATATTATTGTTAATTGAACTGAATGCATGTATCAGCCGTTGGTCCCAAACATAAGAAAGAAAGAGTATTTGCCTCTGCAACTTATTGATCTCAAGAATGTCAATAACAGGTTGGCCAACTTTCACCTCCTTACAAAGCACTTCCTGTAAAGATTCCTAAGGAAAATTAAACAGATTAGACATTGGATGGTTTGTCAGGCTGATTTCATGCATAAAAGAAAAACAAATTTAACAATGAAGTTAAACGGCTGGGCAGGTTTGCTTATGTATTCATTAGGACAATCAGACAGCAGTTGTTGCTCATAATGGATGGAGGGTGCAAGGATGAATTTCAAACCAGCTACCTGAATTTCTTCTCTATCCTTTTGCAGCATTGCTTCCAGCTCTTCAATACAAATTCTTTTTTCAGGTGCCTTTCTGCCACCATCTTGGAACCCTGGACCTAATAATTTCTCAGACATCTTTTGCAGAGCATTGTACACTTCACTAAATAGGAATTCTGCCCTGTTACTCACCTGCAAAACAATATTAATGATATTGTAGGTGTTGTTTGATTCAAGAATAACTTTATGAACTGGAAAAAGGATTTATGATATTCAAACCTCATTTGCTTCACTTTGTATCCACTCCTGATTATCATAATTAAATTCCAGTTTTGGAGGTGGAAGATAAACGGAATGAACATCAATAGCAGCATATCGAAAACAAGCAACCATTCTCCCGAAACTGCATGTGGTAAAACAGTACAATCAGAGGATGCCAACAGACAACTGACATGCTTCATTTGATCATTTCTAAACATCTTTTGCATTTTTTTTACAATCCATATTCCATTCCACTAATTAGCCCTACTTATCCATCCCATTCATGGCCAACAACTCTCCCTTATCCAGAAGGGAGTAGATGGCTCCGGGAGTTGATCCCAGGACTTCAAGGCAACTAGGCACCTTATCTTGGGGTAACAACCACTTGGCCAAGCGCAGGTGGCTCCTAAACATGGAAACCTCATACATATGTGTACATAGGTATATGCACTTATTACTGCTCAACTACAGAAAGATCTTGCTTTACTGATCACTCTTTTAGGCCAGTAAACTATACTGTGTAAGAATAGAAATGAGGAGACTCAAGTACTAATACAGGCATATGAATGTGGCCATGATACATTCATAAAATAGTAATTGTAATATGAACTGTTCCACTGTACAATGGAAGTATTTGTGTTGAAGACCCAGGCAACTCATAGAACAGTACTATACACCACCTGATATCTATGGAGGGATACTGTTGATCATCAATAATTAACCAAAAGAACACCAAAGTCACACATATGAATAACATCAAACAAATGGTTCATAGGGGAAGTAAATTGATTGCTTATAGACTAGAGAGATATCACACAAACAGACTAAACAGAATAAAAGGACTCATCTTTCAGAAGTGCCATCTCTGCAAATAATCACTCCATTCAGAACAGTAATCTTTAATATACTTAATACTTCATATTTCTCAACTAAAAACTCACCCATAGAATCGAAGACAATCTCTGTGAAGGGAATGACCGCAGCTTGCAACTCTGCTAGCAGCTGCATGGTTAGAAAAGCTCAGCTCCAAAAATTTCCCAAAGGATAAACCCCAAGCAGCATCAGACATTACAATTCTTCGAGTGGCTGGAGGGAATTTATTGGTCCGAGGGCATCGCAAGCACCTATGCCACATCCAAATCTTGCCTTCTCGCTCTCCTGGTAAGGGAAGCTCTGGTAGTTTCCTAACAGATATTGTCAGGCTACCTTGCCGATGAGTGTAACAATGAACATGTGCCTCAGATGGCATCTCACATGAACGACAACGGAAGCTCTGATAAGAAGAATCTTAAGTTGTAGTCATGGGAAGCAAAAGGAGGATATGTTTTCTACATGAGATAGCAAAAATAACAATTACCTGATCAAACAGATGATCTCGTAAAAATCGCCCCAAAGGCTTATCAAAGCTCCCATAGTATTTAATTCGAAAGAGATGAGACCGTTCACACACAGTGCCCTTCCATACACAACGTGTTGATAATGACACCAAAATGCTCTGATGGTCTGAAGGTGATGGAGGAAACTCTTCCTTTGAAGATCCCACCTCTTCATTGTTATTACTAGTATCTTGTTTTGAGGACGCCAACTGTGGGCCACCTAGATGATTAGCAACCAACATATTGCCATCAGCATGATTACTGCCACCACCTTGCTCTGCTGCTTCTAATAAGCTTTGACAAATAGAAATGAACCGGTCATCCATCACAGCTTCACTGCTAGCTGTCTTGGTCTGGACAGATTGTTTAGGATCTATTCCATCGACCTTGCTAAATGCATGATTTAAGGAGGGAACATTGCTATGAGATGAGATATTCTCCCTCAAAGCAGACAGTGAATTCAAGGAAGTAATAACTTCAATAGAGCTTGAGGCAGATTCCTTTAATGTAGTCTGAAAGTGAAGACCTTTTGACAGGCAAGATGAACTGGCCCCTGTAGATTTGCAAGGGGCCTCAACATTGGCGGATGAAGGTCTATCTGAGATAACAACTTTGTTGGATTTCTGCAGTTCATTTATAGGTTGAGAAGCCATGGGCTTGCCAGAGGATGGGACAGTAAAACCAGGTATGGTGGAAATAGACCTGTCAATACTTGCTGGTTTATCAGGTAAGGCAACAGTTATAGGAGACTTTAAAGGGAGCTCCGGAAGCGTAGCACCTTCATCAGCTAGAAATGATGTCTCAAGAGCCAAGTGATAAGCTGCAAAAACTCCATATTGGACCACATGTTTCACCTTTTTCAACTCATCTCCGTTGGCACCCTTGAGTAAAATCTGAAAAACAGTAAGCATTGGACCCATCTCAGCACCAAACATTTTTATCTTGCAAAATAGGCATCAAAGATTAACAATTGTGCTTCACGGTTATAGAGGTGGCATGATATGACCCGCCAGAGCTTTATACCGTCACACCCTATGCATCCTACTATCCTAACAGTTGGCAACCGACCTGATTGCAAACAGCCACAATAATTTCTCTACATTACATTTCAAATTAATCCAGAAATTATGCATGATAAAAAAAGCACCTAAGTAGGCTATAGCTACCATGTGGTGCTCTAATTAATGTAGTTGCATAAGATGGTTTGGAGGAGGTGTATATTAAAAGGCATGCTAAGGTGGCAGATGGGTTCTTCCACCTGCAAGTTATAGGACCATCCAAAAGATGAAGGATATGGCTAGAGTCTCCCTTATTCATGTTAACAGAGGAAGTTAATCAGTCACCTGATAATCAACGCAATTGTTCTATGAGCAGAACCTGAGGATAGTTAAAATAAGTAACAAAGTTGTTTCTAGGTACAAGATTCTAGAAGGAAAAGCATGTTATCCCTGACATTGTTGCTTGCTTTGAAGGGTGGAGTGCAATATACAGAAAAAAGGGTATAACAGTGGAGAAAAAATATGAGTTGTACTCAGATGAAGCTTAACACATCGGCCATTTCTCTGATTGCGGTTACTCCAGCTAGATTTGACAAAAAAGCAGCATCACTTGGCCAATCTATAGCTAGCAAATTGTACTAAATTGGATCTTACAGTGATATGATTGTAAAGCCCCATTGACAGTATAAACTACTTTGTCTACAGCTGTATATATGGCAGATTCAACAAAGTGCAAACTGATCGCTCTGCAATCTTAAAGAAAATAATCACAGACGTTCACAAGTGCCTTGGAGACAGATTTAAATTACTGAACTCGGGTCAAAGATGGCAAACGAATGACAATTATAATTCCATAATTACTCATTGATTTCATAGAGCCTGATCTTTTTACCGGTGTTTAGATTTATTTGAAGTTTGTTTTAGACTTTTTTTGAGTTTCTCTGCAGAAGTATATGTTGGCAAAAGTTTTGACAAATAATTGTTATTATGATCAGCAACTCATGCTAGAAAGATTTTCCAAATTACAAACAGATTTTGTGTCTAAGTACTAGGGCATGAATATGTGTGTATACTGAAAGGACTTACAGTATAACCCAGAGGCTTTGGGCAACCCTCACAAAACATTAGAGTCTTTGTTAGTTTCTTCCCACATTGCCCAGCACTTCCATGCTCTTCAAGAAATTTCTCCACATGGAACACATCACAATATCCCAGCTTTGGTGATGTTAGATGATCAATAGATGGAACTATTTGAGCACCAGTGCAGCGGGCTACACGCTCTAAGAGTGGCCTCTTAATATTGAGAACAAGTGATATGTCTCTGCCAAGAAGGTACTCTTGGGCATACCGGGACACAGATTTCTCCACCAAAAGAACATTAGGGTGATGTGCATCAATTTTAGCAACTGCCATCTTCAAATGGTCCATTTCCTGAAAAGGAGGGTAAGCTCGTAAAAACACATATCAGTCTTAATGCTTCATGTTCTAGAAGGTTGGTATCAAAGGAATGTCGCCTGGCTTTGACCCTTATTAGGAACTTAGAGATAATTAACAAACAAAAAAAGAAGGAAACAGTTAAAAATTCAAACCTGCTGCAACAATGTATCAAAACTTGACAAGTGGTTAGAAATGCGCTGATACTCCAAAGCTCCTCCAAGGATTAGAAAACGAGGTTTATCTATTTTTGATGTCATTCGTCGATGAGCCACATTTTTCTTACAAACAACTCCTTTAACCACAGAACTAGAATAAAAAAAAAAAAAGAAAACATTATTAGAAAGAAGTTATCAGAATCCCATCAGCGTAATTAAATGGTAGTAGAAACAAGACCTAAAGAACCTACAAAGCCTTCTTTTGGCAACACATTTGCATAAATATTAATTGTACTTTCTTTTCTATTAAGGCCAATATATATCACTACCACCCAAAGGAAGTGAACAATCTCTCCAGATTATACTCTCTCAGTTGACACAAATAAACATTAAGAAATCACTGCAAAAGCATTCTGAACAGTCAGATACAAATATGAGGGAAATTTACAAATGATAGCTGATCAGATATGTGAAGGGACATGATTGCAGAAAGAACTTTCGGCATATGTTCATGCACAATGGGTTCATAGAATTACAATTCAGTACCCATCAACAGAAGAGAAGAGGGAAAGAATAAGAACCATTCAATATGACATGGAAATTCTATAGAAACTAGAAGTATATTGAACAATGCAACATCTAAATATTTCGAAAACCTAATGAATCTAATGTTCATTCCCTGAAACACAGCTAACTGTTATGAAACAAATAATAGACTTGATTACTAACAACAAAATGTAATTTGAATGATTGGTCTGTTAGCTGCCACATGCTAAGAATTACGGACTATTCTAAACAGAAAAACAGGTGAAGTTGCATTCTTTTAGCAGAACTAACAAATTTTCAAATTGAGTTCAGTGTATTACCTTTCATTGCGACGCCCAGAAGCTATGCATTTAACCTTCACATAACCTCCAGGATCCATTCCTCCTCCTTTGCTTGTATCTGGCTTCAGAAGTGTTGCAGCTTCCCATGACAAAGATGTGATTATATCCAACCAACTATCTCTGCCATCCTCATCACCAACAGGGAGGTTTTCAACCTGCAAAAGCTGAGCTACCAAAGCTCTAAAATGCCCTTCCACTACATTTTTCATGGCCCGTCTGTGCTCCTCATTTGACTTATCCCTACTACGGTATTCCCCACTACCAAAGCTATTTGAAGAGCGTAAATATCCCCACTCCCCTGAAGCACCCTCATCATCATCATCATCAAATAGAGCAGATTCTCTTTCATCCTCTTCATCCTCTGGCTCTGGCGGGAGCCACAGTGGCCCATTGTTCTCAAAATCCACAGGCTCAACATCTGTACCATCCACATCATAAGCAGGAGCTTCACCCTCATCAGCATTCTCTCGTTCTTCAAATTTCTTGATTCCATCCACACTCTGTGTATTGAAATTCTCAGGTAATGTTGAACCACTCAGAGATTTTGTATCCATGTTCCCTCCATCAGGATGCACTTTATCCGATCCATAGACATGGTCGATGCTTCCAATATTGATCGCACCATAATAGTCTTCAGCATGAGCATAATGCCTTGATTCTGAATCTGAATGATAAGCACCATAATCATCATCTTCATCATCACTCCTGGAACCAACGGTTAAGAAAGTAATAAGTATTGATCAGTAGCTGAAAATCATAAAACCATGAGAACTCAAGATTATGCATTTCAGTCAAGACAGAATGTATAATTTCAACATGCATTAACAAGGCAACACAAAAACATTGAGCAAAGTTGTAGTGGCTCGTCTAGACACAGTCTCAATTATGAAGGATGCATTGCTCCTACCCTTACCCCTCCCCTCTCTCAACAAGCATCGTTAAAGAACATATGCAAAGGCATGTGAAATTCCAGAGTTAGATATACATAAAAAAAATTAACAAAAAGAAAAGCCTCTTTCTGCTCCATTCAAAAGTACACTATCAATGGGGAAGGTACCTGTTATCACAAAAGCCAAAATGGTTTGAAGAAGAATCTACTGCAGCTGAACTTGGATTTGTGCTAGTCCCACATGCCTCACTGTTTTGTTCGGTGGCTGATGCATTCATCTGGGAAGATTCACGAGGGCTAAGACCAGAATTATAATTCACACGGTGGTATGGTCCAGTTGAATACGGAGTAGAACCAACAGTGCTGCTACTACTATTACAGGTGCAGCTTGATTTGGTACTGGCCAAGCTTGTTGCAGATGGTGATGGACTGAGACCAGGGCTATGCGCATTGGTCCCAGTATCAACAGCTGCTATCCCCTGCTCCCACTGCTTGAAGCAATAATTACATACCCTAATCCTTTCAGAGTCTTCCTGACCAGCTCTTTGCTCATCAGATGGAGCAGGAACTGAGTTTGCCGTACACTTGGCACAGAAAACTCGGCCACAAAGTCGACAATGATGCCTACGATTAAATACTGTAAATTGTGAGTCACACTCGTAGCATACCCTACAACTCTGATCAGGCATCCAAAAATCCTTCGACACATTCGGCGGCTCACTTCTCCTGGGGATCCACGACTTAACTATGTCAACCAGGTCAGATAGTTTGTTGTCGGGGGTGCCCATCTACAACTATCCCACCTGATCCCAGTCATCATGATTCATTCATTTGCCGCTCTCACAACCACAACCACAAAAATTCACGACCTCCAATAACCTGGCCATATCAAAACCACAACAAATTAATAAAAAACAAAAAGTTCCAACCAGAACCCTACCCCTAAAACTGATGAATCTAAACCGCAAAGAAATTCTATTAGTCAAAAGTGGAAAAACTTAGATGGAATTGAAGTTACAAATGAAAACAAAATTTAACATGTTTGAGCATCTAGATTACAATTACATGAAAAACCTAACATTAATTATACAATTTCAAAAGAAAACAATAATAAACTTATAATTACCCGGAACACTAGCACCTCAAATTCCAATATCCAAACACCCTGAATTTCAATTTCGGCTTCTTCTTTTTCTTCTTCTCCAGTTAGAGTGGTAAATTCTCTTCACTGCTCGATCCAATAAACCACGAAATTCAAAATTTAATAACCTGAAACTGAAAAACCCTACAAAAAATATATTAATAAGCTAATTCTCACTGAGACCGATAAAGAAAACAGAAGAAAAGCAATTTGATCGGATTAAAAGTTCAATTGGATCTTCTAGCAACAGAAAATCTCATCAAGAAAACTGAATTGCTCGTTTAATTAATTAGAACTCAATTATCACCTTAAATTTCTACTTGTGTAATAATAGAAATTACATTGAAACTACCGAACAGAGAATAATCGATATTAAAAGCCGTTAACCGCCCGACTTAATTTCATTTGGCGGCAGTGATGCAATAAAATGAAATATTCACGATTTAATTTCCAAAAATAAAGGGAAGAAATTACAAAAGACTGTACAAATTTCATTTAGAAGAAAGAATTCTACCTTCTTATTTTCTTCTATTTTTTGACCCTTTTTTTTTTGTTAATTTTCTGTTTCCCGCATCGCCTTTTTGCGTTTTGCTGTCTACTCTGCTCTCTTTGTTGCGTCGTTCTAGTTTGTTTGTTAGCTTTTTATTTCTTTTTTTTTTTAATTTGTATTTTGTTTCTAAGGTTTAGTTTTTCCCTGTGCACATAAAAACGGTCTTTTCCTTTTCAGTTGAGCCACGTCCCATTTGTGAGTCAATTGTGATTATAATTTTTACTCCTTTTTATTTAATAATAATTATGTTTTTTCTCAACCTTAGAAGATTTTCAGCTTATTGATTGATTAATTTTAGACCCTTAATGTATCTTAAAAATACTAAACATTTTGTGAAATTATGAATTTGACATATTTCATTTTCCTAATGAATATATCCCTAGTATTTTTCATCTCAGTAACTGTTCTAATAATATTGATTAATTGACAAAACCCCTTATTCATAAATAAGAAAAATTAAATATTAAAATAATGATAGCTTACAACGACTCCTTTTTCTTTCTCTTTTTTTATAATGAGCTGTATTAAAATTGTACAAATCCCTTTTATCTCTTTGAAAAATCAACACCTAACTCTCTACGAATATACACTTTATGCTAATCTTCTTCTTCTCTGTGCTCACAACGTAATAAATATAAATCTTTAAAATGTATAAATAATAAGAATTTTTTTAAGATTAAAGTGTTCACTCTCGGCATATATATTCAATAAAATAATGAGGGCTTTCGTGGCTTACCTCCTCCGATTGTCCTTATTATATCTCTAATTTTCATGATCCTACTTTATGTAGCAAAATCGCATTAATCTTTTTATTTTTAATTATTATTTTTGGTGGGAAAAATCCCACTAAATCTTTCGAGAGTCTTGACGTATGTCTTTTGCCTTTTTGTTTTTTTTTTTCAAGCGAAGCCTTTAGAAAATTCAACTGTTGATGGTTTTCGCAGTTTTGCCTTTGCCATGCATGTGGCGAAGAAACACACGCGGCACGTGACATTACTAACTGAATCATTGCCATGAACAAGTCAAATGCCCCAAAGAAGTCACGCTTTGAGCCTTTGACCACTCTTGTTTTACTTCTTCTTTTTTATCCAAATTTTATTTAGTTTCGTTCACCTGTTTACTTGTCTTTACCAAAGGTTGCGAAAAAGAGCTAAAAATCTCTTGGGATTCGGAGATTAAGAAGCCAGTTATTGACCCCGTAATTCTTTTGTTTGTTTAATAAGATTAAAGACACTTGTAAAAAGCAAACTAGCATTTGGTAGTGAATGATAAGCGTTTTGTTAATTAGTATTTTAAGGAAACATTTTGAAGTTAATTAAATTACTCTTTACAGTAATTAACAATTACTATGATAATTTCAAAATGACTCTTAAAGGGTTCTCACTAAAATAGACAGTGTTTTAAAATATTTTAAAAAAAAGTTACTTTGTTCCCTCTCTTTTTATTGTATATTTAACATTATATTATATAATGATAAGTAATATTTTATATATATATCATGATTTTGTTTTACATACACTAAATTATGTATATAATTTTTTTATCAAATTTTGTTGGACAAATAAAGAGTTTTTAACACTCATATTAATATTTTGATTAAAATCTCCTATAAAAACTGTTAAGTGAAATTATTTTTTTTAATAGTAGAATATGACTTAACAAGTCTTATCAATTACTACCCATCATCCACACAGGTCATCAATGATGTGTATTTTTTAAGATCAAATCTCATAATAGTTCTCTTTTTATAATTTAACATAAAAAACTTAACCATTTCTTATTACTTATAATATTTTCTTCTTGATGTGTCCAGGTGATGTTGTCTTGAAACCCCATAAAAACTTCCTTTTATATAAAAATTATAGATCCTTGTCTCTACTTGAACATGAAGTATGGATAGTGTCAGGTTATTATTCCAACCACAAAATTTTCAAATACCCTTTCATGAGTTTATTAACTCATCCAAGCCATAGCTTGGTTAGCGACTTCAATTCAAATTCTTCAATTTTTCAAATCACACGAACAACTGATAATATTTTTAGAGTGGAAGGGGGAAGATAAAAGGAAAGACAACAAAAAGGCTAAAATTTCTGTGGCACAAAAGAAAAGATGGTAACTTTCTCATGTGCAAGAGCACGAGAAGTCAACGGTCCCCGTATAGACTCGGAGTTTCTAGTTTGCGCTTTGGTCAAGCGGATTAGGTTGAGGGACCGAAGAAACTTTCGGCAATTGGGCTCGTCAAGAATAACACGCGTGAAATCAAGACCTTTCTTTGGGCTGAGCGCGGCCTAATTAGACTCTCAAACAAATAATAAGCCCAAAAATACATTCCTGCCATGAATTCTAAACAAATGGAGAAATACGTTAAACCGTTTTGAACGTTGAACTCAAGCCTCAACGATGACGGTAGATTACCAATTATAGATGGATGACAGGTGACAACTGATCGAACCTTGCAAATTTCCCTTTGGTTGTTTACAAATTATAGAAGTGAGGCCCCTTCAAATTTGCAATTTACTTTGTCTAATTTAATGATTTAAAATAAAGTGTTGTAACTGGATTACTTAAATTACATGATGATTCATGACTTTCCATGCTTTGAAACATGAAGCAAGGAAGGGAGTGGCGGACTAAATGAAGAAGATGGCAGTAAAGCCAAGAATGGAAGATTTGGTACATGGGGGGTCGTAGATTGTTAGGTGATAGTAAATAAGCATGATCTTGAAGCATTTTGCAACGGTCGCCAACTGTTGCCAAGTTAAGGAAAAAACTTGACATAGGAATTAGAAAGACAGCACGAGTGGTTTTAGCAGAAATTAAGACAAAGGGTGAAGAAAAGAAAAGGAGTCAAATACTGGCAACTGGGTCCCAGTTTTTATAAAGAGAGCGTTTCTACAGAGAACCAACCAAGAACATTACTTAAAAATAATCTTTTTCCTTTTTTTGGGTTTAAAATTCTGTTAAATAAATAAGGAGTGAATTTAAAAAAGAAAATGTCAATTGATCAAGAGGAAAATACTGATGATGATCATCATGATCACGATCGTGATCATGATCATGGAAATGATAATGACAACCTTGGACAAAGCAAATAGAACCATCCAGTCCTGAATTTGTGTCCAAATCAAACACCTGAAAAAGAAAAAAGAAATTATGGAATACCCTTCCTCATGAGAATCTTTTATAGTACTAGTAAGCGAGTAGGAGAATTTGAGTGGTATTAAAATTTTTTAATGTCAAGAACACAAAAAGCACGGAGCAGGCATCCTTAAAGTTTGCTAATATAATGTAGTAGTAAAATCTTTGGAGGCACGGTAACATGATGTTATTTGTTAGGCTTTTAATATCAAAACAAAAGTGAAAGAAACAGATTGATAAAAAGTCAATTAGAATTTAATTAACAAATGGGTTTTCTTTTTTCGTGGGTTTCCTGATCAAACGGTTCATGAATGGGTTTTTGTAGTTTTTGACTTGATTAGATAGATATACGAGAATGTGATTGGGGAAAGGGAAACTGTAGTTACTAAAATACAATCTGACAACAAAGAGACGAGAGAAAAAAGGGGAGGGGGGGCTGGTGCTGTTTGATTTTTAATTAAACAATCGAAAAAGTTTTTATTTTTAAGTTGTAATTATTTATTGCGTGACTTTGATTTTTATTGGATTTTGATGTTGGGTTTTTATTTTTATTTTTATTTTTTGGCAAAGCGGTGTGAGGGGGGGATTTTTATTAGGTGAAAGAAAGATGTGTCCTTTCGGGGTTTTTTATTTGAGATTTCTTTATTATTAGCGAGGAGTCTTCTTAAACTTAGGGTTCCTTTTTGGTTTGTTACTTTTCGATTTTTGTTCTTTGGGAGGGGTTGCTTCCGTCTGTTTATTGGGAATTTTTCTGGGTTTCCTTGTCTGTCTGGTAATTTTGCTCATTCGGATGCCGTGTTCCCTTGCTAATCTCGTCTGGGTCGGTGGGTTTTCTTCAATTTTGGAAGTCTCCATCTTTGGTTTTTAGGGATTTTGAAGTGTCTGCAAGGACAAACGGAAGTCCTTTTTCTCGCTCTCTGGTAGAATTTTGGAAAATCCTGAAAGGTGGGATTTTTTAGTTATCAGATTTGCAGCAAGCTTTTTAGGGTTTTGATTTGATTCACAGTAGTGTTTTTTAGGTTTTTGGGGTTTCTGAGAAGGAGGCATTGGTGCCTTATACTTAGTGGCAAGCTCGAGTTTGTTGGGTCTGGCATGTGTGCATGATGTTTAGTGCTCAAGGGTCTTCAAGAAATCATTGCAGTCTCCTTGCAGTTCTTTCTGGTGGTAAAGTTTCTGATAATAAACAGAAGCAGCCAGTTTCTGATGATAAGCCCAGATACCCATTTCCAGAGCTTGCTTCATCAGGGCGCCTCGAGGTATATATGTTAATAGTTCTACATTTTGCAAATTTTGTGATTTAGCTGAACTTTTTGTTATAAAATTGTGACATTTTCCTGTGTGTGAGTGCAGGTTCAACTTCTGAACAATCCTAACATTGATGAGTTGCGACGGGTTCTTGAATCAACAGAGCCAAATATTGTCTACTTGCAAGGAGAGCAAAATGCAGATAGTGAACAAATTGGCTCTCTGATTTGGGGGGATGTTGATTTGTCCACCCCAGAAGCCTTATGTGGACTCTTTGGTTCCACATTGCCTACCACGGTTGGTGATGCATGATTCTGTTATGATAATTGTTGGATAGAGTTTATAATTTGATCTCATTATCCCAGAAATTATACAATAAGGTGCTAGAGATACAAGATAGGATTGAGTTTTGTTTTTCTTCCCTTTTGAGTTCTTTTTACATAAATTGTTTCCTATTACAATCTTTGCAGGTTTCAGTGCATATTTGAAGTTCGTTATATATGTTGAATTAATCTATTCTCTAAATTGTACAGGTTTATTTAGAGACCCCAAATGGTGACAAATTGGCAGAGGCACTTCACTCAAAGGTTAAATTATAGATCCTGGTCATGGGCAACCGATTGGAAATACATTCTTTATGTTTTTATAGAAGTTGCTGACATTTATTTCTCCTTGGCAGGGAGTCCCTTATGTTATATATTGGAAATATACATTCTCACGTTTTGCAGCTTGCCATTTT